GCCCCCCCCCCCCCGCCCCCAGGGCCTGCCCAGAGGCCACGGCTTGGGGAGAGCTTCCCCAAAAGGAAGGTCGCTCTCAAAGACCCTAGACGGTCAAGACGAGACGGGCTTCGCGCGGATCTCCGAATCTTGTCCTCGCACCGCGTCCGCGAAAGCCTCTCCTCGGGAAAGCCGGCCCCGGGCGTGGCGCAGAGCCTCGAGAGGTTCTCAACTCTGGTGCCCTGGAAAAGGGGGCAGGGGGGTCCTGTGAGATCCTTCAGGGAGAGGAAGACGCCCTCCAGAGGCGGCTCCGGATCGTCTCTCCGTTCCTCGGATCTCAGGATTGGAGAGCAGCGACCCCCAGAGCCCGGCAGCGTTCCTGCTTTCTGCTGCCCGGGCGGGGTGGGATGGACGGCACCGGGAGCCCAGCTCAGCTTGGCTCTGGAGCCCGCACCTGGCTGAGGAAGCCTCGCCCGTCACGGGCCTGGGTGCGGGAGGAGCCGAGGGGCCAAGAGCTTCATGCAGAGTTAGAGACCTATACTCACAATTTCTATAAACCCAGGATACAGAACTGAAAGGGATAATCCCCTGCGTTTTCTAGAGCTGTTTATGTTTTACAAACTCATGCACATGATCTCATCCCTAAATACCTGGATCCCTGGCACAGCCTGGGAGGTACACAGGGCCAGTGATGACCATTTTTGCAGCTCAGGAAACAGGTGCTCAGAGGCTTTGTTTCCTTAATTCAGCATTTCTTGAGGCACTGGACGATTCAAAGATAAAAAACGGGATTCACCCTCGAGGAAGAGGCAAAAACAACACCCTAATTTACTCTGGCTTTGGTGGGAGTTCACAAGGGCTATACCACAGCGCTCAAAAGTGGCAAAGCCGGGTGAACCCCAGCACTTCTGACTTCTACTCAAGTGCCCTGCCCACGTCCCCTGAGCGCGCGAAGATGGGGAAGCGGTACAGAAACCCACACACAAACCTTCATTACAACCCTCTCCATCTCAGCTGGATCCGAGTAACATTTAGTCACAAAGTGCTGACATACTATTTGGGTAATTTATTAATTTGTAAGCTCTGTGTGGGTAGGAACCGCATCTAGTTTATTTAAGGCCGAATTTTCAGGCCTAGCCCAGAGCCTGGCACGGAGCTGACACCCAATAAATGCTTGTTGAATGAATCAGGAATAGCGATACTCGGAGCAAAATAACCCCACCAGAAAATGCAGTCGCTAACGCCCTAGGGGAGGTGTGAAGGACTAGGAAGGGAATTGGAAAAATGGGGAGGGGGGCAGGCGTTCCCCTCTCATCCCCCTCCCCAGTCCGAGCTACAGGCCCCGAATTAGCCTTCTGCCCTAGCCCTCTGTGAGCCCTTCTCACAGAAGCCACCCTGGAGGGAGAGAGGGCCGATTCCCTTCGGCCACGCCAGTGCTGAGCCAAGGATGATGGCGAGTCCGCGCGTCCCAGCGGCTTGGGCCTGTGCCTCTGGTCTCCGAGGCTGCGGGCCGAGCCGCAGGCAGCGGAGTGCGGCCGGGACGGGGGCGGACGCGGGCAGCCGCCCCGGGGAGGGCTCCTGGAGAGGCCGGAGCTGGGCCCTGGCCTGCCGCCGCCCCGCCGCGCCCACCCCGCGCGGGTTCATTGAGGAATGAAGGAAGGCTCGTGGGCTCGAGGTTCCTAAGGATCCCCTGCAGCCATGGAGAAGTTACTGGTTTCACCGGGGTCTGCCCTGTTTAAAAAGAGTCGGGGTGGCAGCTGGAAGAAAGGACAGGCTTTGGTCAGGGAGAGATGTTGGGGTCAGGGGAGGGACCGCCGAGGCCTTGGCTCGGACAAGCTCGGAGGTATAGATAGACATCCGCCTTTGCCCCACGAGGCTGCGTCTTGGCAGGGCAGCGCATCTGGGCAGGCGCGCGGAGCCGGTGCGCGTGCAGGGGCAGGCCTAGGGGAAGCACCTGGCCGGCCGCACGGCGCTGCACAGACCCAGGCCAGGTTGAGCCCGGAGCTGGAGCTGGAGCCCGGGCTGGTGCGCGCACCCTCAGGGGAGGTGGCAGCGCAGCCGTGGCGGCGAGGGAGAGGGGGCAGCAGGAGGGTCTGTCCCCGCTCCTGCTCCGCGCCCCCACCCTCCGCCGGCTGCATGGCTCCGGGTCCCGATCTAGTCTGGGGTCGGGGCCCGGAGCTGCCAGCCACGTGCGCCAGGCCTGCAGCCGAGCTGGGAAGCGGCGGAGGGACGAAGGCCAAGAAGGCATGGGTCAGGGATTGTGAAGATCCACCCAACTCTTCCCTTCACTCAGATTCAGGGCCTTAAGTGGGTGGGGGAGGGGGTACTAATGATAATACAGAAATCTCGAGCGCTGGCACTGAACATTAAAAATTTCCAAAGCTTCCAAATCACTTTTTAGGAGTCCGATCTTACTTGAATCTCACAAAAACCTTGTGAAGAATTATCTCCATTTCTAAATGGCATTGAGACTGGGTGAGACGGACAACGTTCTACATTTGGAGTTTCTTACACTTACCAATAATATGCAACGAATCATATGAATGGAGAGGGAGACAAAGAAAACAGGTGACTGGGAAACCCACCCCGCCTTGATATTAAGACCCCAATCGAGACGCAGGCCCGGGGCCCCGGGGCGCCTGCAGACAAGATCTGCATTCAGTTTTGTCCGCTCACTTGAGCCTAGCGTCGCCTTCCCTCCTTGCTCCCTGAGCTTAGACGTCACTTTGACCAAAGAGCAGTTGATGGGGCCTGAGTCCTTCTTGAAAGCTCCCCCCAGAGAAGCTCCTTGGAAGGAAGGACAAGGAGCTGGCTTGGCGCCTGTCTTTCGCTGCGCAACCTAGAAGGTCCTCTCGGCGCCCAAACTCAGGGGTGCCTGCCGCAAAGCCGCTCAGGGGGCCACGCAGAAACGCGAGCTCCCGCCCGCGGAGGTTGGGGATGGGGTGGGGATGGGGTGGGGGTGGGGAGTGCCCTGAGCTTTCTCTCCCCCGGTAAGGGACAGGGATGTAGGCGGTGAGGACCGCGAATGTTAGTATAGAAGTTGACTTTGTATTGAAGGAGTGCACAGCACCCCTCCAGGAGAGAGGATTGAAGTCAAAATAAAAAGCCAGTGAAGAAAACAACTTTCCCTACTACGACTGCTATTAATGGAAAAGGCGCCTAAACCTGCTGAATTAAATCGTTCAAAAGTGCCTGTTCATCATCGGGAGCTCCTTCTCTACAAAGAGGGGAAAGAAAATGTGGAAACAATAACCAAATTCGAGAAACCCCCTTCACCGCCCCCGCAGTGTCTTGGAGGCCCCTGCCGGGCCAGAGAGCGCTCCGCCCTCCCAGCCTTTAGCGCGGAGCGGAGGCTAGAACAGCCAAAGAGAAAAAAAATCAGAACAAGGAGAAACGTTTAAAATCCAAGGGGAAAAGTCGGAGTGGGTCTCAGGATCCGCGCCGCGCCTGGCTTGGCTCCGTAGTCCACTGGGCGGGGGTCCGGGCCGGCCGGAGCAACGCAGAGGATGCCTCCGGCCCTGCTGGGGAGCGCAGCCCACAGCTCCCCCTCTCCAGGCGCCCAAGGACCCTCAAGGCGCGGGGCTCACACTTGAAGCCTGGGAACGCGCAGACAGGAAACCCACTTCCTCCTAAGCAGTTTCTTGCTCGCCGGATGAGAGGCGCCCAATTGAAGCAGAATGATCCTCATCTACTAATATCCAGCGTGGCCACAAAGCGACTGGCCATTTACGCCGCCACTTTAAACAAAGATATTTGGTTATTCCCGGGGAAGCAAGTGCACTTTTGCATGGCTCAGCTCCGGGCGGAGGCGAGCCTCAGCCCAGCCTCCCGCCCGCTGGGCTGCTTGTGCCTCGGGAATCGCCCCCTCCCGGCCAGCTGGTCCCGCCGGGGTTCAGGCTCCGTTCGGCCCGGCAACTGGCGGGCGGGCACTCACGACGCTCCCTGCCCGCGCCCTCCCTTGAAGCATCAGAGGGGAAAACAGCGTGGCCCTGGGCTCGGGTGCTGGGGCTGTGATGTCCTCGGAAAGTCAGCTCCAGCCCCAGGTCCCTGCGTGTCCGGGCGATGGGCGAGGGTCGGGGACACCAGGTTTGTTCGAGGTGGGGAGACTTCAGTGAAAGCCCCGCGCGTTAGTCCCCCCCTCAGCCTCCCAGCTCCCGCGGCCAGTGGTGTGCTTGCCTTGGCTGGGGTTGGGGGTGGGGAAAGGGAGCCGCGTGTGGGTTGGAGGGTGGGCGTGATGCAGGGGGCCCTGGCCTGCTGAGAAGACCCAGAGCTGGGCGGAGGAGCACGCGGGGATCTGGGACAGCCTCTCGGTGGCAGGCGATTCCCTGCTCAGCGCCCCCTCCGCCCGCTGGGATTCTCTCTCGGGTAGGGGGGAAAAGGGGGCGGGGAGCAGAGGTGTCCCTCTGACGGCGGCAGAAGAGGCAGACAGACTGACAGACACGCAGACCAACAGTGCGGCCCCAGGGTTCTTCCCCAGACTCGCGAGCTCATTTGGTGGCGACTGGGGCTCGGCGCCTGCGAAGCCTGATGTGGTCCGGAGGCGGTGGGAAGGCGCGGGGCTGGGAGGCCGCGGCGGGAGGGAGGAGCAGCCCCAGCAGGCTCAGGTGAAACCCCCACCCCGTCCCTCGGCCCCCTCCCTCTAAAGACCTGTCCCCGCCCGGGAACCCCGACCGAATTGGAAAGTGGTTCACTTTGTAACTCCGCAAGTTGGTTGCAAAGCAGCATTCACCTTCCTTCCTCCCCGCCATCCCTCCTCCTCGGCTACTCCCCACCCCACCTCTTGCCCTCCCCTCTCTCGATTCCCTCCTCCTTTCCCTCCCCCGCCTTCCCCCCCGCGCGCCACCGGCACCCCACAAAAAAATGGGGGTGGGGGTGCCCGGGGGAGGGGAAAGAAATGCTTTGGGTCGCGTCTCTGCCTCTCTCTCTCTCCCCCTCTTTGAGACCTAAAAATCCTGACAAGTGAAACTTAAAGGTGTTTACCTTGTCATCAGCATGTAAGCTAATTATCTCGGGCAAGATGTAGGCTTCTATTGTCTTGTTGCTTTAGCGCTTACGCCCCGCCTCTGGTGGCTGCCTAAAACCTGGCGCCGGGCTAAAACAAACGCGAGGCAGCCCCCGAGCCTCCACTCAAGCCAATTAAGGCGGACTCGGTCCACTCGGTTACGTGTACATCCAACAAGATCGGCGTTAAGGTAACATCAGAATATTTGGCAAAGGGAGAAAAAAAAAGCAGCGAGGCTTCGCCTTCCCCCTCTCCCTTTTTTTTCCTCCTCTTCCTTCCTCCTCCAGCCGCCGCCGAATCATGTCGATGAGTCCAAAGCACACGACTCCGTTCTCAGTGTCTGACATCTTGAGTCCCCTGGAGGAAAGCTACAAGAAAGTGGGCATGGAGGGCGGCGGCCTCGGGGCTCCGCTGGCGGCTTACAGGCAGGGCCAGGCGGCACCGCCGGCCGCGGCCATGCAGCAGCACGCCGTGGGGCACCACGGCGCCGTCACCGCCGCCTACCACATGACGGCGGCGGGGGTGCCCCAGCTCTCGCACTCCGCCGTGGGGGGCTACTGCAACGGCAACCTGGGCAACATGAGCGAGCTGCCGCCGTACCAGGACACCATGCGGAACAGCGCCTCGGGCCCGGGATGGTACGGCGCCAACCCAGACCCGCGCTTCCCCGCCAGTAAGTGAGGCCGCCCCACCGCGGGGCCGCGGGCTGAGCGCGGGAGGCGCGGGCAGAGAAGCCCGGGAGGCGCTGCGCCCGCCGGCGGCGCCCTGGGCACTCGGGTGGGCGGCCGGGCAGCGGTGCCAGGAAGTCGGGCGCGGGACCTGGCGATTCTTCCCCCTGCTGGGCTGAGGGGTCCAAAAAGAGACACTTCGTAGGGCTAGGGTCCTGTGGGCAGGTGCTGGGATTCGGCGTCTCCCAGAGGCGGCCGCCGGGCAGCTCTGCTCGGCGCAGGAGAGCTCGGAGTGCCGAGGGACGCGCCCCCCTAACGAAGGGAGCCGGGCAAGCCGGGCGCCGAGCGGCGCGGCCTGGCCGGGCGGGAGGCTGCCCTGCTGGGCACGCTCGGGAGCCCGGCCCGGCCTGCTCTCCAGTCTAGGCAAGTGGCAGGGCGTGCAGCTCCAGAGAGGGCTCTCAATGGGCCGAGCCGGTGCCTTCAGCGGGGCTGACAGGGAGAGCGGCCGGGAGGCAAAGCGTCCTGGGTCTCCAGCTTCTGAAAGTGAGCATCTCCCTCTCCCGAGCTCCCAAAGTTGGGATCTACCGTCGGACCCCAGCTGCTGGCCTGGGCCCAGTTCGCCGCCTGCGGCCCGCTAACCCCGCGACACCAGCCGGGCTTGGGCACGAAAGGACCAGGAGCGGCCTGTCTCCACTGGGCTTTTTGGGTAGAGCGCTGAGACTGAGGGAGGTAGCCGGGTTGAGGCGGGGGGCTCTCCAGGAAACCGCCCGACGGCACGGCCGGGGGCCGGTGCTGGCGCTTGCCCGCGGCAGGGCCTCTCAGGGCGCAGGCGGCCTAGGTGAGGAGGGCGCCGTCGGGGCGGGCTGGGCCGGCCGAGGGCGCGGAAGGCAGTGGTGGCCTCGCCCGGCCCGGCCCCGGCCGACGCTGTGCGTTTGTCGCTTACAGTCTCCCGCTTCATGGGCCCGGCGAGCGGCATGAACATGAGCGGCATGGGCGGCCTGGGCTCGCTGGGGGACGTGAGCAAGAACATGGCCCCGCTGCCCAGCGCCCCGCGCCGGAAGCGCCGGGTGCTCTTCTCCCAGGCGCAGGTGTACGAGCTGGAGCGACGCTTCAAGCAACAGAAGTACCTGTCGGCGCCCGAGCGCGAGCACCTGGCCAGCATGATCCACCTGACACCCACTCAGGTCAAGATCTGGTTCCAGAATCACCGCTACAAGATGAAGCGCCAAGCCAAGGACAAGGCGGCACAGCAGCAACTGCAGCAGGACAGCGGCGGCGGCGGCGGCGGGGGCGCCGGGTGCCCGCAGCAGCAGCAAGCGCAGCAGCAGTCGCCGCGCCGCGTGGCCGTGCCGGTCCTGGTGAAAGACGGCAAACCCTGCCAGGCGGGCGCTCCCGCGCCGGGGGGCGCCAGCCTGCAAGGCCACGCGCAACAGCAGGCGCAGCAGCAGGCGCAGGCCGCGCAGGCGGCGGCGGCGGCGATCTCAGTGGGCAGCGGCGGCCCCGGGCTGGGTGCACACCCGGGCCACCAGCCGGGCAGCGCGGGCCAGTCTCCGGACCTGGCGCACCACGCCGCCAGCCCCGCGGCGCTGCAGGGCCAGGTGTCTAGCCTGTCCCACCTGAACTCCTCGGGCTCGGACTATGGCACCATGTCCTGTTCCACTTTGCTATATGGTCGGACCTGGTGAGAGGACGCCGGCCGGGCCTAGACCAGCGCGCTGCCTCATCGCTTCCCTTCCTGCCCGCCACACGCCACCCACCGCCCGCCGCTCCATGCGCTTCGACTTTTCTTAAGAACCTGTTCCGTTTAGACCAAGGGAAAAAACAAAGGCCAAACTGCTGGACGTCTTTTTTTTTTTTTTTCTAAAATTTGTGGGATTTTTTTAAAAAAGAAAAAAACAACCAAGCGAATCTAATTCTTTAAGGAGTCTTTAAACAGAGAAGGACATAACAAGAACAGCTTTGGGGTGTCTTTGGGTGATTCAAATGGGTTTCCCACGCTCGGGAGGGGCACAATTTGGAGACGGTTGTACGCTGACGTGGCTCTGGACTCTAGAGATGGCAAACTTCATTCTGGGTACACTGTGCCAGCAAAACGGACTCGCTTGTAAATATCAGGATCTCTTTCGAAGGGGAGACGGGGCCTGGGGAGAGGAAGGACTCTTCGACAGGACCCGCTTGTCACTGACACAAAGGAAGGGCCCCTCTCAGCGCCCTCTGGCCTCCCAGGCTCAGCCGGGACGGCCTTGGCTAAAATTGTTTTATGTTTGATGTGAACTTGTAGCTGTAAAATGCTGTCAAAAGTTGGACGAAAACGCCTAGTTTTTAGTAATCTGTACATTTTGTTGTAAAAAAAGAAAAAAGAAAAGAAAAAGAAACACAACAGTCCCCGTCCCCAGCCCATCGTATTTTTTATGGGCGTTGACGAATCTGTGTATATTATTTGGCAGTTTGGTATTCAGAGCGTCAGTCTTTTTCTGTTGTAACTTATGTAGATATCTGGCTTAAATATAGTTCCTAAGAAGCTTCTAATAAATTATACAAATTAAAAAGATTCTTTTTCTGATTAAAAATCCACCTTTTGTTTCGTTTTGATTTAGCTGTAAATGGAGTTTTTTGGTAGGGGGGCTGCTCATAATTGGCCTGATGGGATTTGAATTGTTTGGGGGCTCAAGGGATCCTGAGCCAGCTAAGGAGGCTGGGCCCAGAGTCCTTGCCCCATGGGAAGAGGGAATTTTGTTCTGGCTCCGAATTGAGTAAAAGCAAACATTGAGCAGTCCTGAGACCTGGCAATAGAGAGGAAAAGAGGTAAACTTCTTCCACAGGGAGGGGAAGGGAGAAAGGAAGAGAAAGAGACCAAGCGACTAGTTTTCAGAGCCAGGCTTGTGTTTTTTGAAACCTCAGAAGTGTCTACTATGGTCTTGTACAGCTGAACTAACGTTTTGAAGCAGGCAGCCAGGACATCCGTTTTAAATAGCCCTGCGCGAGTGATCATTTTTACTGAACACATCGCCCCTGTAGATTTCAACATCAATCCTTTATTTCTAATGCATGGCTGAGCCTTGTCAGAATTAGAATTCCTTGGGAGGCTTTTTTTCCAAAGTAGGGAAGTTGTTACCGGTTTTATTTCTGCTCTAAAACAGCTATCCTGGCGAGGGTCTGGCCGCGGATCTCCACTTTCGGCGGCCTCTCTGGCCTCAGGAGGTGTCGGACTGGGCTGCTGGCCTGGGGACACCCCAGCAGGACTTTGGGAGCTGAACTTTCACTTTTTGTTCCACCGGTTTCCATCTCTGGGCTCCTAAATCTTTTTAGTAATGAATCTTTCTCTTCTCCCAACTTTTCACCTCTCCCCACCCCCCAGCAAAAAAATTCATCTTTGACTTTTCTTCCCACTTCTAATTTCCTGGGCTCTTTGATGCCCAGATATGTCTATTGGAAAACTCTCAGGGTTGCCCTGGGCAGAGGAGGAGGAAGGAGTGGTTGTGGACAAAGGCTGTTGCCCCTTCCATGTCACCCCTGATGAACCTCCAAGGAGGCAGAGCAGGCTGTGGACAGATGCCCCTCCCAGCACTTTTCTCCAGGCTCAAAAGTGTTTGCTTGTGGGGGATACATGCATATTTGGTATGTATGCACTTCTTGCCTGGAGTTTCAACTTTTTTTTCCTTTCTTACCTCTCTGTCTTTTCTTCCTCTCTTTATCTCATTCTGTCTGCATCTCTCTCTTCCCCAACCTCCACCCTCACCTTCCAGGAACTTATAAGGGAAATCACTGGCCCAGGGGCCGCTCTGCACCAGCAGTTCTCTTTGTTGACTTCCTAGCGGCTCCTCTCCCATAGTGTCTTAGGACGGGGTGGGGCGGGGGGGCCAGGGAGGGTTTTCTCCCCCCATCTGCCTGCAGAGATACGATTTCCAGTATCCAGAAGAGACTCGGAGATTCCGAGAGGATGGTTGGTTGGGTCTAGAGAGTGTGCTGGTTGAAGGGAATCTCAGCAGGCCTCACATTTTAGAAAACAAGTGAAAACTGGAAAGTTTGAACACTTGTGTTAGAATGGGCAGCAGTGGTCCCAGGACAGGGTGTGTAGGTGGTCAAGTCACCCAGCTCAGGCCGCGGCTTGGCAGTGGAGATGTTTGGCTCTAGGGCTCCAAATCCGTGGAGTGGGAGCCTTCGCTCAGCCAGCCCCAGGCCCAGCACAAGGCTGGGTGGGGTGGCAGGGTGCGCAGGCGCTGCCAGGGCTGCTCCGCAACCCATCCTAGCAGGGGGGACGGGCTCCTCAGAGTCACAACTTTAGTGGGCTTTGGTACCCTCGGCCTTGTCACCCTTGCACTGGATGTAGTTTCTGTCAAACACATTCTTCTCCCCGCCGTCTAGAGCCAGCTTAGTTTGAAGTCTGTTTACTCGTCCTGGGGAAAGGTGAATTCAGCCGGGTGCCGACGGGACCGACACAGACAGGGCCTTGGCCGCGTCTCTCCATCCATCACGCGGGGTCCACCAGTTCCCGCTCCTGGCTGGGAGATTGTTGTAGCTGCGGGAAGCGGCCCTGGAACGCGACTGGAAGCGTCTTGATAGGGAAATAGATGCCGGCTGCGTGCAGCGAAAGACCGCAGCCCGGGGATGCCCCCCACCCCCACATCCCGGTCAGCCTCTGCGAAGCGATCTTCGTCCGTGCTCTCCCGGATGGACCTCCCCTAGGTCTCCAGCATCTCTGGCTCGGGTCGGTTCTGGCCTCTCCTGAGGAGAAATCAGCCTCCTGGAGATGCCCCTGGCGCTGAAATGCCTGGAAGAGCCGGAAGCTTCCCCACGTGTGGGGGCAGCGCAGTTCGCCCCGAGTTCAGGGAGAAGCTGAGCGACTTCACCTAAACACCCCACCCATCCCTAGGCCCCGACGGTTGCGGGGAGTGGGGGAGATTTTGCAGACAGCATCTCCCCTTCCTCCTCTCCCCCACCCCCACTCTGCCATGTAAACACGAGGACTTTCTCGAGAGCCCTGGAGAGCGGCTCTAGTGGCTTCGGGGCCTGAAACCCCAGGCTTGGCTTGTTTGATGTTTAGCATCCCAAAGCGGCTCCCCACCCCCGCCCCAGCCTGGGAGCCCCCCGAGCTGTGGGTCGGAGAGGCAGGAAGCAGCCTTCTCCGCTGGCCAGGCCGGGAACTGGGCTGGGTTCGGGGAAGGCAAGAAAAGGACTGGAGATGCTCTGAGCAGGGCAGAAGGGAGCCCGGGCTGCAGCCGCCCCCAACCGCAGCACCAGCGGGTACAGCTGGAGTCCTCAAGGCCAGGAGGCGGGTGGGGGCAGGGAACGCCTCAGCCGCCGGGGCAGCAGCTCTGAGATAGGGGCTGGCCCGGTGGGAAGTAGCTTGGGGCCCGCGAGTGAAATCAGAGCCTGGCTGGAGCCGACTGCGCGAGAGGCGCTCAGGCACTTGCTCCTGGAAGCGAGGGAGGCCCCGCGCGCTCCGCTCCAAGGGCCTCTCAGGAGCCGGCTCTCCCCACTGCTTAGGGCTTGGGCTTTCAAAGGCAAGACTTGCTCGGGAGCCTTCCAAGGGGTTTTAAATCCTCGTAGGGCTGGGCTAGGCCGAGGTCTGGCATCCAGGTCTCGGATTTTGAGACCCTGGGGAAGAATTCTCAGACTGTAGAGGCAAGCCCGCTCTTGGGGCGCGTTCCCCGAGTAGGGGCGTCGGTGAGGGGCATCTCCAGGCGCGAGCACAAAAGGTAGCGCGAGTCTCTTCTCAGGCGACCCGAGATAAGAGGAAATGAGAACGGGGTTTTCTGACTTCCAACTCATTAGGGACCAGGTAAGGTCAATGCTTTCTCTATTATGTCTTTATCTTAAAAGCGGGTCAATTTAAGATAACGGGGGAAAAAATCCAGAATCTGTGTGAACCGTGCTGATAAAGACTGACCCCTTTCTTGAACTAAAAGCAAGCCAGGCAGACATTCATTTTCTATAAACAAGAGAGTTGTGAGAAGCTGCCTTGAATTCTGATCGAATGTCTCCAGTCTCTCTAGACCCCCCCCCCTCCTTTATTAGAGCTGGGGAGCAGAGTGAGCGTGGATATTGTTTGTGGAGAACTAGAAGCCTGTCGGGAAATGTGAATCTGAGATGATATGGCTCTTAGGCATGATTTACTGGCTTGTTTGTTTCAAATGTGGCTTTCTTTTAGAATGGAAAGAAAGTGACAGACTTGAGTATTGGGAGGCATGAGGATGAATGTTTTCCTTGCTCAGCCCGGTCAGTATTAGGAGATGCGGGACACTCACTTCCTCTGGCCCTCTCTGCCTTCCTGGCTGGTGTGTTTGTGGTTGTGCAATTGTGTTCTTGCGGCTTTGGGCCACCCTCTGTGGGGCCCAACTTGGGCTCCTGCCTCAAGTTGGAGCATAAAAAGCTTTCTGGTGCCTCTTGGGCCAGTAGCTTCTGGAAGGAGTGTCCTATCCCCAATCACCCTCTGTGGTGAGCTTGCCCTCTGAGCTCCTCCATCAAGTGGCTGGAGGAATTGGGTATGGATGGGAGTAGAGGAAAGAATGTGCTTTCTTGACGGGGAGGCCCAGGGTCTGCATGCCCCCCTCTCCATGTAGTTGTGTTTCTGAACTTTCCTGGATGATTCTCAAAGGAACCCAGGAGCAGAAGGCTCAGCAACTTGACAGCACAGCTTCTGCCTCATCTGAAGCCATGGCTGAAGTGGCTGGCTGCGTCTCTCTCTGATAGTGACCTAATGCTCTATTTGGAGGGCATCTCAACCCAGACCCAGGCTTCTCATTTGATAATGTTTCCCATTTGGTCTCTGCTTTCTAAACATTTACTGTCTTAGTTATTGCGAGTTGTAACAAAGTTTTGGAAAGGGTGAGATTTAAATTCATTTTCCTATTTTATTTCTTTCTTCATTATTTTCAGGACACTGCAATATAAAGTGGTCACTATTAGTGCGCTGCTTGAAACAGAAAAAAATATTTAAAAAATTGCAGGCAATTGGCCACATTAAAGAGCACCCTTTCCTCCAACATAATATTCACATCTGATTCTGCCCAGTGTGTATGTTGGTATAAGTGGTTGCATACAGACACCTGTCTGTGTGTGTATTATAGAAGTGTAGGTGCATATGTCTATCTTATATATCTATTTATAAGATATTCAAAAAGAAAGAATTTTAGTGTAGAATTCTCTTAGTAGGGGATCTTACAGAACCTGTTGGATGCAAGAAAGTTGAATGCATTCATTAGCTCAATTAAGACGCCACATGAAACTTAGTTTCCCTTCAAAAAAATCAAATAAATAAAAACTTTCTTTGGTTTTCCCCACTTTAAATTAGAATATTAATTTATTTTCATGTGAAACTCTGAAGAACTAGCTACGCTTTGGGGAAATATTAAAACTTATTCTTAAAGAAAAAGGACTTGTTGCCTGAGACACACAGCTGTAGATGAGACGTCTTGAAGCAATCTGTAACAAAAATTATTGTCATTTGTCACACCTACCTTACCCACTAACAGAAATCGTTAGTAGGAACACTAGTGCCAGCTAACAAAAACAAGTGGAACTGTTTCTGGCCTTCACAGAGTAGTGGAA